CTTGTTCGGGGGTTTGGAAATCATGTCTGTGCTGGTTTAATTGTTTTCTCTTTTGTAACTAACCATTACAACCCAGGGATTTCCCCTGAGTCTATTTCACTCCGTGGCTTTTAACACCCAGTCATTTATTATGCTTGCAACAGTAGTCTTGTTTTGATAATAAAAGTGTTTTCTTTTTGTTTTGATTAACTGGTATTGGTTGATTTTTGTGTCCTTAAACCTATGTGTCTAAGTTACCCGGGAGAAACAGAGCCCCATTGTTCTCTGTGGATTACCTCTGTTTGTTTTCCCAACTCCAAGCAAAATGGAAGTTGGGGCAGGGGGGAGAGTTTTGCCTCAGAGAGGGGGGTTCAAGTGACCTCTTCCCTGGAAAGGGGCTTTTTTTTTTTTTAAATTTACACTTGATGGTGGCAGCAAACCAACAGTCTTTCTTTTGGGTCTCAGGGAAACTGAGACCAGACAAGTTTGTCTCTGGGAGGTACAGAGACAGGTTCTTACAGAGTTTATTCTGCTAGCTAGCCCCCATATCTACATTAGAAGTGCCAGGTTGGGGAACTGAGATGTGACAGATGGATACTAGATTAAAGCTATGGTCACTATGAATCAGTCTCTCCCAAAGTCTCCCACTTTTATAGTCAGCTGTGATAATACAGCAGCATTTCCATTATTAAATGCAGACTCCATCAGAATTCTTGAGGTTACTTTTATCAACTGATTTTTTTAATAGTGTTTCATTAAAGTACACTAGCTGCTTATTGTTTGCGTTCTTCTCTTAGCAGCATTGTGGCCTGTTGTGTATTATTAGAGTGCTTTTGGGCATCCCCGATTTTCTTCTATGATGGCAGATTTTAATATTTCCTCCCAGTGCTCTTTACTTGCTAGATTTCTTCATTCTTCACAACTTACTGTCTTGCAATCTCACTCACTTGTACTGCTGTGTTCAGCAAATCCAAAGAATAGCACCAGGCTTTTTGATTTCCTGGTGTTTCTCCCTTCCTGGAATCCACAGACATCCATGCACAACTCTTGTGAGGTGGGGAAGAATTATCATCTCTGTTTTACTGATGGGGAACAGATGCTGAAAAGAGTTAAGTGATGTACCAGAGCTGGGATTTGAATACCAGGACTGTAGCTCTGTAGCTACCAGGTTCTGCCAACCACAAGGCAAGATTTCCAGCACCCCCAAGCCTAGGTGAAACCTTTTCCAAATTCAGAGCCACTCATATATATAGACAGACACACACACACACACACACCACAACAGAGGGGTCATTTTCAAATTATTTATTAGGAATTTAAAACTGAAATCTAGAAAAAGGGTTACAGGTGTGGCGAGAACAAACACTGGAGTATAATAACTTAAAGCTATGTTTTGAAGTCAGTATTTCTTTTTAAAAAAATGCCCCCCCCCAAGCACTGGCTGGAGAGTGAAGCACAGCCCAGTGGCAATACAGTGGAGCTGGGAGGTGTGTGGAAGGGGGCACAGAAGCAGCTCGGCGCATGTACCAAGAGGGAGGAAAGCGCTGTCTGCAGACCCAAATTTAAGTATACAGAATAAAAATAAACCCAATAAAATTCAGCTCTTCTTTCATTAGGAAATATTAAAAAAACAGAAACAAAAACCACACAGACTCTTGCCTTGGTAACAAAAATTATTGCTTTGTGTTTTCAGTACTAACCCATTAAAGTACCTCTTACTAAACAGAACTCTCCAAAAGTATTGCTGGGTCAGGCACGGCCCATGCTGCTGGCCTCGGAGCTAGCCACAAGGCTGCAAGGAAAGCGGGAAATGGAAGGGGGAAAAGGGGTCCATGTGGATACTATTGTTAGGCCCTAGAAAAATAGGCCTAGTGCAGTTATGCTAAAGCAAATGTAACAAAGATTTCTGGGTAGTCCCTGGGCAGAACTGGAGATAGGTTCAGTCAGGGATGCACCCTACACACTTGCTCAAGTTGCAAAATGAGATAAGTAAGAAGCTGCATTTTTGTACCTGCTATGATGAGGAACAGCTTGTTTTGAGAACTGATAAGGAGACTCCCTGTTTCTGCTCTCCCCGTTTGTTCCAAACTCCCTGTTTATGTTCTCCTTTGGCCATAACAAACTGTCTCCTTGTTGCCCAGTACCTGTCTTTTGGGCTGATAAGAAATTGCTGATGCATTATGAATTGCTTAAGGCCATGATGTATAGTTGACCAGGTGTGCATGGATACTAAAAATTTCTAACCGATAAAGGGGGGTGGGTCGCTTGGGCAAATAGTCTATGACGCGACGGAACTGTCTATATAAGCCTACCCGTTAATGAAATCGTGGCTGGTTCTCTTTGGAGACAGGCCAATCTCTAGTGTAAGTGCGCACTATTCAATAAAGAGCTTGTGATTGGATCTTGCTGATGTTGCCTGTCTCTTTGTGGTCAGACAACGAACAGAGGCCGTCCGGGTTCGAATCCCCGACACTATAGACCAGGGCTACTCAACACGCGGTCTGCGGCCCGTTTGTTTGTGGCCCGCGGTGCAGTTTAGGTTTATGTGGAGCTCAATACGCGGCCCGCGGGTGGGAGCCAAAACAAAAAAGGAGTCAATATAATGGTCTTCTGTTGAGATGCATTTTAGTAGTTAAATTCCTGGACTGTCATTGCTCATGAAAAGTGCTGTCATATGGGTAGAAATCGGGGAAATGTTGCATTTCATTAATATCAGCAGAACTGACGTAAATGGGGCCTGTGTGTTGTGTAGTCCTGCCTTAATCTTTGTATTCATGCCTGTCAGTGTGAGAGAAGCTATTTGCATATACATACAGCCACACTTAAGTTGCAGCCCTTGGCATGTGCTGTGAGTGTCATTGTGGCCCCTGGGGCTTCCAAAGTTGAGTAGCCCTGTTATAGCCTCTTCTCCCAATCCTCACTTACTGGGGCTTACTTTGGGCGAAGAGAGGGAATGATTTTTAAAATTTAAGATGAAGCTGCATTATTTCCTTGGGAAAAGTGTTAGGCTGCATCTTAATAAAACACTTAATCACCCCACCCTTAACAAGGTCTTTGGTTCACTTGAAACAAATCCAGACCCAAACATGCCCCTTAAATTCCTCCTTGAGGCAACCCCACAGTAGAGGCTACTTGTTAACAAGGGCTTGGGCAGCCTCAGGAGAAGGGACCATATAATCAGTTTACAGAACAGAGGACAAACTCCCACAGATTCCAGAACACAGAGGAAAGCAAAATGGAAAGCCGTGATTCTAGAATTCATATGATCCCTGAGAAGCCCTTTTCTCACCTTTCCCCCATAGATCACCACCCCTAGCACTTTTTTCTTCCTAATTAAAAAAAAGACTTTTCCCCACACAATGCTGTGCAATTCAGAGAACAACCACCCCACCATCCCATCCCCCTGACAGTGAGCCCTTCCCAATGCCCTGCCCCCTAGAGGATGATTCCCTTTCCCACCACCTTGACACAAGCAATACTACTTGGAGAGTCAATCCTTTCAAAGTAATGAAGACAGACAGGCAGTAAGTCCTTTGCCTAGCCAAACCAGATGCTGGCACTTAGGGAGCCCACTGGTGGAGTCTGTACATCAAGCAGCTGAAATCAGCTTTAACCGGCTCAGCAAAATAGCCGATGGCTGGTAAGTTTCATTCCCTTCTCCCCCTGATTCATATCAGAGGTCTTAAAATCTTACAGTAAAAGGTGTACAAAAAAGAAAGGAGTCCTGTCACAGTTCTGCTGGAGAATATTGCTCACACTGAGGTGCCAGGTTCAAGAACCTGGAGCTGCTCCTTGGAGTCAGGCTGCAACTAGGTTCACCTCACAATATTTACATATTATACACTAGGAAAAATACAACCCAATGTAAAACTAAATCTAGGAAAACAAAAATACTTTCAGCTGTAAGGGTAGTGTTTTTACTTAGCAAAATATACATTTGTTTTGTTCTGAAACCATGTCCTGCCTTTTCAGATCCTTGGAGCTTCACACATTTGAAAGCCTCACATTTAGAAAACAAAAACTAAAAAATGGTTTCTTTAACAAACAAAAAAAAGTGTCAGTTCTGCTCAGCCTTCTTTCTCTCTCTCTTACCTTCAGCACTGCATTCACATTACATACTGTCCTTTAAAAAGGTTGACAACAACAGAATTGAAAAGATTCAAAACAATTTCAAAGCCAAATAAAAATACTAATTAAAAACTACCTAACACGATCACAAAAAGTCAATTTATAAAATGTGTCTACTAGTTCAGGAAAGAGCAAACAATGAAGAGGAGGGTCAACCCACCCCCCAAAAATCTCTCTCTCTATATATACATTTTTTTTCCTGCAGGACAACAGCGTGATGTCATCATGTCCTTTGTGTTGTCCCCCCCCGCATTCAGAGGGAGAAGTGGTGTCCGTGGGTCAGGGCAGAACAGGAACCCTTCACCATTGGGGCTGGGGTGATTTCTCCCCGCCCTTCAAGAGCAAGGCTGGGGCTTGGTGTGGGTGTGGCAGGTGGCAGGGCTCCAGTGGGAGAGGGTCCCAGCCCAGCCTGGTCATTCTCCTGGCCCCTCCTCAAGGGTTACCCTGGGCTCCCTGCTGGCCCCCT